ATATGAAACTCAGCACCTTCTCCCACTAGGAAGACAAAAGGGGCGCCCGAACCTTGGCCCCCTAAGGAAGTGGAACACGGAGACCCCGTCTGGCCGGTTTGTCCGGGCAAATGAAATCCCCTTCCCTGCCGCTCCGGCCCCCTGCGGGCTTCTCCCGGCTCGTACCTTTTCGATATCCACCAGCTCCATCTCGTAGATCTCCGCTATCGTTATGTGATGCTTGGCTGCGATGGTGAAACGGCCCTGGGCGGGGGAAGGAAGGCAGATGGGTGAGAACCAGGCACCGGCACTCTGGGATACGCGGGTCGCCCGGTGCGCCTCCCGTGACCCCCAAAACAGCCCATCTGCATCAACAGGGCGTGGGAAAGTGGCCACTTATTCATTGCTTGGGAGAGGGGTGTCGAACGTAAGGCCTGGGGGCCGGCCCATCCAGGGCTCTAATGTGGCCTGCGACCAACTGGTACAAGGGAGGGAGTGCTGGGGAGGAATGGGCGGAGCCACTCCATTGCGGCTTCAGCGCAAAAGAACAACCTCGTTTTTCAGCAGGCAAGCATCATGGGGAACCATCTGCCCAGCGCCCAGTGTCAGCGATGCAACGAACATGAAATTGAGCCAACTTCGGAGGACGGCGGAAGACAGGAGAGCCTGGCGGGAGATTGTCCATGGGGTCGCGAAGAGTCGGACTCGACTGTGCGACTGAACAACAACAATCTCTGGTACTTGGCATTATGTTTTATGGCACGCGTAGCCCAGCCGAACGAAGGACATTATGTCAGATCTGGCCCTTGTAACAAATGAGTCTGACACCTCTGCCTTAGGACTTCATGGCAAACGGGGTTCAACGTGGCCAAGGGCAAAGTGATGCACATTGGAGCCAAAAAGCCTAAATATAAATACACATTGATGGGGTCTGAACTGGCAGAGACTGATCAAGAGAGAGATCTTGGGAGTCGCAGTAGATAACTCACTGAAAATGCCGAGACAGTGTGTGAATGCAATAAAGAAGGCCAATGCTATGCTGGGGATTATTAAGAAGGGAACTGAAAACAAATCAGCCAGTATCATAATACCCCTGTATAAATCGATGGTGCGACCTCATCCGGAGTACTGTGTGCAGTTCTGGTCACCACACCTCAGAAAGGATAGTATAGCATTGGAAAAAGTGCAGAAAAGGGCAACTCGAATGATAAAAGGGTTGGAACACTTTCCCTATGAAGAAAGGTTAAAACGCTTGGGGCTCTTTAGCTTGGAGAAACGACGGCTGAGGGGTGACATGATCGAGGTTTATAAGATTATGCATGGGATAGAGCAGGTGAAGAAAGAAGTCCTTTCCTCCCTTTCTCACAATACGAGAACTTGCGGGCACTCCATGAAATTGCTGAGCAGCCGGGTTAGAACAGATGAAAGGAAGTCCTTCTTCACCCAAAGAGTGATTAACACATGGAATTCACTGCCACAGGAAGTGGTGGCGGCTACAAGCCTGGATGGCTTCAAGAGGGAATTAGATAAGCATATGGAGCAGAAATCCATCAGTGGCTATTAGATGATAGACAGACAGACAGGAACTCTCGGTCTGGGGCAAGAAATGCTCTGTAATGTATTCTTGGTGCTTGGGGGGGGGGCAACAATGGGAGGGCTTCCGGTGTCCTGGCCCCACCACTGGACCTCCTGATGGCACCTGGTATTTTTGGCCACTGTGTGACAGAGCGTTGGATTAGATGGGCCATTGGCCTGATCCAACACTGGCTTCTCTTATGTTCTTATGTTCATTTGTTTTCTGAAAGATTCAGCTGCATTAATTCAACTGTCCTCTTGCCCTGTGTTTGGGGGGGAGATGCATTCAAACCTGCTTTCATTTCATCGGCCGAACAAGTATTGAGTCTCATCCGGGCTATTTTTATCTACGGGACGGCGGGATTGCGTCTGCTCGTAAAGGCTTACGCACCGCTTTTCAATTAACTTATTTTTAAGGATGTCCAGGGATTAGCCTTGCCGGCTTCGATGCGTTCTTTGATTCACTTGGCGAAGCAATCTGCCTTAAGCTTTAAGTACCGTCCACGCTAGGGTATTGCATCGACCGAGAGCACTGGGTCTCCACTCAGACAATCTCCATAGAAGACTTACTGCCAATCACCTGGCAAGGGAGCGCTGGCTACTTGTACAGCCAAGGAACATTACCTTGAGGAAGCTATTAATAAATCTTTGCCCCGCCCCACCAGTGGCAGCAACCGTCCCCAATGGTTGTTCAGATCTTGCTGACTTGTAAGAACATAACAGCCTCAGAAGAGCCCTGCTGGATCAGACCAGTGAAGGTCCATCTAGTCCAGCATCCTGTCTCACACAGCGGCCAACCGGTTCCTCTGGTGGGCCAACAACAGGGCAGAGAGGCCGAGGCCTTCCCCTGATAAGAACATCAGAAGAGCCCTGCTGGGTCAGACCAGTGAGGGTCCATCTAGTCCAGCATCCTGTCTCACACAGTGGCCAACCGGTTCCTCTGGTGGGCCAACAACAGGGCAGAGAGGCCGAGGCCTTCCCCTGATAAGAACATCAGAAGAGCCCTGCTGGGTCAGAAAAGTGAGGGTCCATCTAGTCCAGCATCCTGTCTCACACAGTGGCCAACCGGTTCCTCTGGTGGGCCAACAACAGGGCAGAGAGGCCGAGGCCTTTCCCTGAGGCTGCCTCCTGGCTGTGGGATACAGAGGCTTCGTGCCTCTGAATGTGGAGATTCCCCTCAGTCACCAGGGCTGGCAGCCATTGATGGACTTATCCGCCATGAAACATCTAATCCCTTTTTAAAGCTGTCTATTCCTGTGGCCATCACTACATCCTCTGGCCGAGGATCCCGCATTTTAATCACTCGCTGCGTAAAGCAGTATTTCCTTTCGTCTGTCCTGAACCTACTGCCCATTGGTAGGTTCTCTCTGTCAACTCTCTCTGCCCCGTGCATAATTTTGTAAACCTCTCTCATGCCCCCCCCCCCAGTTGTCTCTTTTCTAAGCTGGAAGGTCCCGGACTCTTCTGCCATTCCTCCTGGGGAAGGGGCTCCAACCCCTGAATCATCTCGGTCGCCCCCTTCTGTACTTTCCCCAGCTTTCAAGCGTCCTTTTTGAGATACTGTGATCAGAACGGTAGTCCAAATGAGGCTGCATCATAGACCTAGTCTTTTCTCCCTTTCTCACAAGACAAGAACTCGTGGGCACTCCATGAAATGGCTGAGCGGTCAGGTTAGAATGGATCAAAGGAAGTGCTTCTTCACCCAAAGAGTGATTAACACACGGAATTCACGGCCACAGGAGTTGGTGGCGGCGGCTACAAGCATGGATGGCTTCAAGAGGGAACTGGATAAACATATGGAGCAGAGGTCCAACAGTGACTGTGAGCCACAAGGCCGGGACTCTCGGCCTGGGGCAAGGGATGCTCTGTATTCTTGGTGCTTGGAGAGGGGGGCAACAGTGGGAGGGCTTCTAGTGTCCTGGCCCCACTGCTGGACCTCCTGATGGCCCCTGGTACTTTTGGCCACTGTGCGACAGAGTGTTGGACTGGAATGGGCCATTGGCCTGATCCAACACTGGCCTCTCATGTTCTTATATGGAGCAGAAGTCCACCAGTGGCCATTAGCCACAAGGGATAGATAGGAACTCTCGGTCTGGGGCAAGGGATGCTCTGTATTCTTGGTGCTTGGAGAGGGGGGCAACAGTGGGAGGGCTTCTAGTGTCCTGGCCCCACTGCTGGACCTCCTGATGGCCCCTGGTACTTTTGGCCACTGTGCGACAGAGTGTTGGACTGGAATGGGCCATTGGCCTGATCCAACACTGGCCTCTAATGTTCTTATATGGAGCAGAAGTCCACCAGTGGCCATTAGCCACAAGGGATAGATAGGAACTCTCGGTCTGGGGCAAGGGATGCTCTGTATTCTTGGTGCTTGGAGAGGGGGGCAACAGTGGGAGGGCTTCTAGTGTCCTGGCCCCACTGCTGGACCTCCTGATGGCCCCTGGTGTTTTGGGCCACTGTGTGTCAGAGTGTTGGACTGGATGGACCATTGGCCTGATCCAACACTGGCTTCTCTTATGTTCTTATATGGAGTTTTTTATATCGATACGAACTCTTGGTCTGGGGCAAGGGATGCTCTGTCTTCTTGGTGCTTGGGGGGGGGCAACAGTGGGAGGGCTTCTAGTGTCCTGGCCCTACTGATGGACCTCCTGAGGGCACCTGGTGTTTTTGGCCACTGTGTGACACAGAGTGTGGGACTGGATGGGCCATTAGCCCGATTCAACACTGGCTTCTCTTATGTTCTTATACGGAGCAGAGGTCCATCAGTGGCTGTCAGCCACAAGGCATAGATAGAAACTCACAGGCTGCG